TCCCTGTCCCTGTCCCTGTCCCCGTCCCTGTCCCTGTCCCTGTCCCTGTCCCTGTCCCTGTTCCTGTCCCCACAGATGAGATGAAGAGGAGGCGTGACTTCTACGCCGCGTACCCGGTGGCTGAGGGTGAGTGGCACATGTCACGCTGTCACAGGGTCACAGGGTTACAGGGTCACAGGGTCAATGTCACAGTGTCACAGGGTCACAGCATCACACTGTCCCAGTGTCCTGGTGTCATGATGTCCCACTGTCCCAGTGTCATGTGGACTCACTGTCCCAGTGTCACAATGTCCCAGTGTCCTGGTGTCATGATGTCCTGGTGTCCCAGTGTCATGTGGACCCAGTGTCCCAGTGTCACAATGTCCCGGTGTCCCAGTGTCCCGGTGTCTGGTGTCACAATGTCCCAGTGTCCTGGTGTCCCGGTGTCTGGTGTCCGGTGTCCCTCCCAGCCCGTGTTCCGTTGTCCAGTGTCCCGGTGTCCGATGCCCGGTGTCCCTCCCAGCCCGTGTCCAGTGTCCCTCCCAGCCTGTGTCCCATTGTCCAGTGCCCGGTGTCCGGTGCCCGGTGTCCCTCCCAGCCTGTGTCCCATTGTCCGGTGCCCAGTGTCCCTCCCAGCCCGTGTCCCGTTGTCCAGTGTCCTGGTGTCCCTCCCAGCCGTGTCCCGGTGCCCGGTGCCCAGTGTCCCTCCCATCCCGTGTCCCGGTGTCCCTCCCAGCCCGTGTCCCGGTGCCCGGTGTCCCTCCCAGCCCGTGTCCGTGTCCCGCAGCTGCCCTGGGCTCTCAGGAGGAGCGAGGCGAGGTGGCCGAGCGGGACCAGGGCGCGGGGCCTGAGGAGGAGATCGTCAGCCTGTCCATCGAGTTCCACCGGGACTGCAGGTACGGCCCGGGCCCGGTACCGCCGGGGCACCGGTACTGCCGGCTCCGGTACCGCCGGAGCTCCGGTACGGCCCGGGCCCGGTACCGCCGGGGCACCAGTACCACCAGCTCCGGTACCGCCGGGGCTCCGGTACGGCCCGGGCCCAGTACCACCAGGGGCTCCGGTACTGCCGGCTCTGGTACCGCCGGGGCTCCGGTACGGCCCGGGCCCAGTACCACCAGGGGCTCCGGTACTGCCGGCTCTGGTACCGCCGGGGCTCCGGTACCACCGGCTCTGGTACCACTGGGGGCTCCGGTACTGCCGGCTCTGGTACCGCCAGCTCCGGTACCACTGGGGGCTCCAGTACTGCCGGCTCTGGTACCACCGGCTCCGGTACTGCCGGCTCTGGTACCGCCGGCTCCAGTACCACTGGGGGCTCCGGTACCGCCGGCTCTGGTATGGCCCAGGGCTCCGGTACCACCCAGTTCCCCTGAATTCCAGCAGCGCCATCCCTGATCCCTGAATCCCTGATCCCAGTGTGATCCCAGTGTGATCCCTGATCCCTGATCCCAGTGTGATCCCAGATCCCAGCACTGCCATCCCTGATCCCAGTGTGATCCCAGATCCCAGCACTGCCATCCCTGATCCCAGTGGGATCCCTGATCCCAGTGGGATCCCTGATCCCAAATCCCAGTGGGATCCTTGATCCCAGATCCCAGTGTGATCCCAAATCCCAGTATGATCCCTGATCCCAAATCCCAGTGTGATCCCTGATCCCAGCTCTGCCATCCCTGGTTCCTCCTGCTGCTGCTGCTGGTGGCCTCGGGGTTGTCCCTGGCGCCTGGAGCAGCATTCCAGAGGGATCCAGGGGGATCCAGGGGGATCCAGAGGGATCCAGAGGGACCCAGGGGGATCCAGGGGGATCCAGAGGGATCCAGAGGGACCCAGGGGGATCCAGAGGGATCCAGGAGGATCCAGGGAGATCCAGGGGAACCCAGAGGGATCCAGGGGGATCCAGGGGGACCCAGAGGGACCCAGGGGAATCCAGGGGGATCCAGAGGGATCCAGAGGGACCCAGGGGGATCCAGAGCCTGGCAATGCCCGCGGACGTGCCGGGTGAAGCCCTGGGTGTCACCCACGGGTGTCTCCGCGTGTCCCCCCCGCCGGGTCTGTCCCTCAGCCCCTGTCCCCTGCCCTCCCCAGGGAGGAGCTGAGAGGAGCCACCGAGAACGGGGACCTGGACAAGGACAAGGTGAGCGCCGGTGGCACCGGGGTGGCACCGGGGTGGCAGAGGGGTGGCATTAGGGTGGCACCATGCTGGCACTGTGGTGGCACTGTGGTGGCACCGGGGTGGCACTGTGGCAGCACCGTGGTGGCACTGTGGTGGCACTGTGGCAGCACCGAGGTGGCACCATGCTGGCACTGTGGTGGCACCGTGGTGGCACCATGCTGGCTCTGTGGTGGCACCGTGGTGGCTCTGTGGTGGCACCGTGGTGGCACCATGCTGGCTCTGTGGTGGCAATGGGGTGGCACCGTGGTGGCACCATGCTGGCTCTGTGGTGGCACCGTGGTGGCACCGTGGTGGCACCGTGGTGGCTCTGTGGTGGCAGTGGGGTGGCACTGTGGTGGCACCATGCTGGCATGGTGGTGGCACTGTGGTGGCGCAGAGTCCTCGGTGCCCCGCTGCCCTGGGGTGTCCTGCGGGGCATCGGGGACACCCCAAAGCCAGAACACCCCAAACCCAGAACACCCCAAAGCCAGAACACCCCAAACCCAGAACACCCCAAACCCAGAACACCCCAAAGCCAGAACACCCCAAAGCCGGGTCACTCCAAACCTGAGTCACCCCAATCCCGAGTCACCCCAAATCCTGGACACCCCAAACCCAGTTAACCCAAAGCTGGGTCACCCCAAACCCTTGTTACCCCGAACCCTTGTCACTTAATCCCGGGTCACCCTAATCCTGTGTCACCCCAATCCCGGTCACCCCAAACCTGAATCACCCCAAACCTGGGTCACCTCAATCCTGTGTCAACCCAAACCCGGGTCACCCCAGTCCGAGGTCACCCAAAACTCCACACACCCCAATCCTATGTCACCCCAAACCTGGGTCACCCCAATCCCGGTCACCCCAATCCTGTGTCACCCCAATCCTGGGTCACCCCAAACCCATGTCACCCCAAATCCGAGTCACCCCAAATCTGAGTCACCCCAAACCCATGTCACCCCAAATCCGAGTCACCCCAAACCCCAGACACCCAGTCCCGGGTCACCCCAATCCCGGTCACCCCGAACCCCGGTGACCCCAATCCCGGTCACCCCAATCCCGGTCACCCCAATCCCGGTGACCCCAATCCCGGTCACCCCAATCCCGGTCACCCCAATCCCGTGTCACCCCAATCCCAGTGACCCCAATCCCGGTGACCCCAATCCCGTGTCACCCCAATCCCGGTCACCCCAATCCCGGTGACCCCAATCCCAGTCACCCCAATCCCGGTGATCCCAATCCCAGTGACCCCAATCTCGTGTCACCCCAATCCCGTGTCACCCCAATCCCGGTCACCCCAATCCCGTGTCACCCAAATCCCAGTCACCCCAATCCCGGTGACCCCAATCCCGGTGACCCCAATCCCGTGTCACCCCAATCCCGGTCACCCCAATCCCAGTCACCCCAATCCCAGTCACCCCAATCCCAGTGACCCCAATCCCAGTGACCCCAATCCCGGTGACCCCAATCCCGGTCACCCCAATCCCAGTCACCCCAATCCCGGTGACCCCAATCCCGGTCACCCCAATCCCGGTCACCCCAATCCCGTGTCACCCCAATCCCGGTCACCCCAATCCCAGTGACCCCAATCCCGGTGACCCCAATCCCGGTGACCCCAATCCCATTCACCCCAATCCCAGTGACCTCAATCCCGGTCACCCCAATCCCAGTCACCCCAATCCCGGTGACCCCAATCCCGGTGACCCCAATCCCATTCACCCCAATCCCAGTGACCCCAATCCCAGTCACCCCAATCCCATTCACCCCAATCCCAGTGACCCCAATCCCATTCACCCCAATCCCAGTGACCTCAATCCCAGTCACCCCAATCCTGGTGACCCCAATCCCGGTCACCCCAATCCCGGTCACCCCAATCCCGGTGACCCCAATCCCGGTGACCCCAATCCCGGTGACCCCGCGCCGTCCCTCGCAGGCGGCGCCGCGCCCGCCGGGGCCGGGGCTGCGGTTCCTGCGCTGCCCCGCGGCCATGACGGTTCTGCACCTGGCCAAGTTCCTGCGCAACAAGATGGACGTGCCCAGCAAGTACCGGGTGAGCCACCCGGAACCTTCCGGAACCTTCCGGAACCCCCCGGAATGTTCCGGGGATGGTTGGGAACTGTCTGGAACCCCCTGGAATGTTCTTCTGGGAATGTTCCTCTGGGGATGGTCAGGAACCTTCCAGAACCCCCTGGAATGTTCCTCTGGGGATGGTCGGGAACCTTCTGGAACCTCACGGAATGTTCCTCTGGGGGTGGTTGGGAATATTCTGGAACCTCCTGGAACCCTCCAGAACCTTTGTCTGGAAATGGTTGGGAATATTCTGGAACCTTCTTGAACCCCCTGGAATGTTCCTCTGGGGATGGTTGGGAATATTCTGGAACTCCCTGGAATGTTCCAATGGGGATGGTTGAGAACATTCTGGAACACCCTGGAATGTTCCTCTGGGGATGTTCCTCTGGGGATGGTTGGGAACCTTCTGGAACCCCCTGGAATGTTCCTCTGGGGATGGTTGGGAATATTCTGGAACTCCCTGGAATGTTCCAATGGGGATGGTTGAGAACATTCCGGAACACCCTGGAATGTTCCTCTGGGAATGTTCCTCTGGGGATGGTTGGGAACCTTCTGGAACCTCCCAGAATCCTCCAGAACCTTTGTCTGGGAATGGTTGGGAATATTCTGGGACCTTCCAGAACCTTCATCTGGGAGCAGTTGGGAATGGTCGGGAATGTTCTGGAATGTTCATTTGGGAATGTTCCAGAATGTTTGTTTGGGAATGGTCGGGAATCCCTGAGTTTGGATCCATGGATCCTGGGGTTTGGATCTCTCCTTTCCCGGGGTTTTTCCCAGGATTTGGATCCCTCCTTTCCCAGGGTTTTTCCAGGGATTTGGATCCCTCCTTGCCCGGGGTTTTTCCCAGGGTTTTTCCCGGGATTTGGATCCCTCCTTTCCGGGGTTTTTCCTGGGATTTGGATCCCTCTTTCCTGGGCTTTTCCCAGGGTTTTTCCCGGGATTTGGATCCCTCCTTTCCCAGGGTTTTTCCCGGGATTTGGATCCCTCTTTCCCGTCTCCAGGTGGAGGTGCTGTACGAGGACGAGCCCCTGAAGGAATATTACACCCTGATGGACATCGCCTACATCTACCCCTGGAGGAGGGTGAGGAAACGGGGAAAACCGGGAATATCTGGGCTGGGAATACTGGGAATATCTGTCCTTAGGGGGAAAAATTGGGAAAACCAGTCCTTAGGGGGAAAAAACTGGGAAAACCAGTCCTTAGGGGGGAAAAAACTGGGAATATCTGTACTGGGAATTTCTGCCCTGGAGAAACAGGGAATATCTGGGTTTAGGAATACTGGGAATATCTGGGCTGGGAGAAACTGGGAATATCTGGGCTGGGAGAAACTGGGAATATCTGGGCTGGGGGAAAACTGGGAAAATCCGTACTGGGAAATCCCATTCTGGGGAAACTGGGAATATCTGTGCTGGGGAAACTGGGAATATCTGTGCTGGGAATATTGGGAATATCTGGGCTGGGAGAAACTGGGAATATCTGCATTGGGAATACTGGGAATATCTGGGCTGGGGGAAAACTGGGAAAATCCATACTGGGAAATCCCGTTCTGGGGAAACTGGGAAAACCTGTTCCGGGAATACTGGGAATATCTGGGCTGGGGGAAAACTGGGAAGATCCGTACTGGGAAATCCCGTTCTGGGGCAACTGGGAATATCTGGGCTGGGAATACTGGGAAAACCTGTTCCGGGAATACTGGGAATATCTGTGCTGGGGGAAATTGGGAAAATCCATACTGGGAAATCCCGTTCTGGGGAAACTGGGAAAATCTGCATTGGGAATACTGGGAAAATCTGCATTGGGAATACTGGGAATATCTGGGCTGGGGGAAAACTGGGAAAATCCATACTGGGAAATGCCGCTCTGGGAATACTGGGAATATCTGGGCTGCGAATACTGGGAAAATCTGTCCTTAGGGGGTGTCCCGGGGCACGGGGGGTGGCAGTGCCGGTGTCCCCGGGTGTCCCCGGGGGATTGGGGGTGGCAGTGCCAGTGTCCCTGTGGTGCTGGCAGTGCCACTGTCCCCGCGGTGTCCCTGTGGTATCCCCATGGTGTCCCCACGGTGTCCCTGTGGTGTCCCCGCGCTGTCCCCGCGGTGTCCCCGCGGTGTCCCCGCGGTGTCCCCGGGTGTCCTCGCGGTGTCCCCGCACGCTGCCAGCCGTGCCCCGTGTCCCCAGGGCGGTCCCCTGGCGCTCAAGTACCGCGTCCAACCCTCCCGCCAGCGGCTCCGGCTGTGCCCGGCGCTGCCACCCGAGGCCACCAACACCAGCGGCGCCTCCGAGGGCTCCGAGTCCGGCAGCGACAGCGCCCAGAGCCCCGGGCTGGCATCGCCCCCCGGGCTGGCATCGACCCCCGGGCTGGCATCGCCCCCCGGGCTGGCATCGACCCCCGGGCTGGCATCGCCCCCCGGGCTGGCA